GGGATCTGATTCTGCAAGATCGTAGACTGACCATCCAAGACCTCTGTAACACCTTGGGACTAAGTTGTGGTACATGTCAACGAATTTTGTCAGAGGAACTGAACATGAGGAGGATTGGGGTGAAGTTTGTGCCATGACTGCTGCAAAATGAACAGAAGCAGCATCGCTTGGAAGTCTGCAGGGAACTTCAGCAACAGCTTCAAGAGGATCCAAACTTTCTTTCGAAGGTTGTCACTGGTGAAGAAAGTTGGGTTTATGGCTACAACCCTGAAAGCAAGCAGCATTCATCGCAATGGAAGAGCCCTTCACCTCGGCCAAAAAAAGCTTGACAAGTCAAGAGCAACATTAAGTCCATGTTGATCTGTTTTTTTGATACTGACGGGATTGTTCATAAGGAGTTTGTCCCTCCTGGTCAGACAGTCAATAAAGAGTTTTATCACGATGTTCTAAGGCGTTTGAGGGAGGACATGAGGAGAAAACGTCCAGAGAAGTGGCGCATGAACGACTGGGTACTCCACCATGACAACGCACGACCGCATACAGCTTACATTGTGCAGGAATTTTTGGCTAAAAACAAGATGGCAGTTGTTCCCCACCCACCGTACTCGCCAGACTTAGCTCCATGTGACTTCTTTCTCTTCCCCAAGATGAAAATCAAGTTGAAGGGGCGAAGATTTGATACAGTTGAGGAAATTCAAGCGGAAACATAGACAGTACTAAACATCCTAACAAAGAAAGACTTCCAGGATGCATTTGAAAAGTGGCAGAAATGCTGGGATCGGTGTATGCACACCCAAGGGGACTACTTTGAAGGTGATGGTGCAGAATAAGATCTAGGTAAGATGTAATAGTTTTTATTAATATATTTCGGGAACTTTTGGATTGCACCATGTATATCTACAAAGGCATCTTAGGCCCTTGTATAAAACAGGAGCTCAAGCTTTTTATTTGGAACAAGGTCAATAAATATTAGTAAAAACATTCACAACCCAATTTAATCAAAATCAATTCATCTGGAAGTATTACTAAGCGCATATGATGAATACGATCACATTGGCTGGTGTGCAAACATTGTAATGAACAGCATTAATGTGTTAGGTATACCATTTTGAAAAGTATTAAAAAGAAGACTATTTTCTATTGCCAACAAATTAACACTCAGCTCCAAATTATCTGCACAAATCAGGGCCTATATTTCAACATCCACCTGCAAGTTATGGAAGAAAATTGCAAAGTTTTAGTATATCCCTTATACTTTTATGACATACCTGTACTCCTTGAAAGGTGTCAATAAGACCTGGGAGTCTTAGCCCATTAGGCTCCAAGACACCCAACAGCAGATCAAATTCTCTGGACTCCAGAGCCAGATCACTCACACAAGTCATGAACAAGTTACCTCCATCAGGACCCTTCATGTTCCTGCAAATACCACAAAAACAGAATTATGATCCATATACAAACAAATATGCATCATTAGAGAGTCAAGTGCAGGAAATTAAGGATCAGTGGAATTCCTGCTGAAATGCCAACACAAAGAAATGTGTGCATTCTCCTTGCAGTAGCACTGAGGACAGACAGACTTTCCTTGGGTTTCTTAAAATTCTGACCTCCTGATTTTGAATTGCCATTACTGTCTAAAATAAATGGTAAGCCAAAAAAATTTTTGTTCTAGCTTCCAGAATACTGACTGAATTTCCAGGATTTTTGGGCACAACCTGTATGGCCTTGGACACAGTAAGTACAGAGAGTGAAATTTGCTATTCTGTAAACCCAAAAAAGATCAATTAATGTTTTATCAAATTAGTACAAATGTAGAAAAGAAAAAGCAAACACAACTTTTGTGAATTCATACAGGTAGTTGGAACAGTCAGCCGGTCACGGTAGCCGAGCGGTCTAAAGCATGTACTGTCTCCACTCGCTTGGAAACCAGGATCGTGGGTTTGAATACCACTCAGGGCATGGATATTTGTGTGCGTTTTTCTGTGGTTGTGTACAGGTAGAGGCCTTGCGACGAGCTGATCACCTGCCCAAGGAGTCCTACCGAATGCGTAAGATCTAGAAAAACTGAAGTGAACAGAGAAGTTCATGGAGGTAAGCCTAGGCCCACTGGGGCTGTAGTGCCAAGGAAAAAAAAAAGTTGGAACAATCTTCATCCTATCCATAGTTTTGCATTTTTGTAGATTTGTACTTTTCTCAACAACTGATTACTAGATTCTCTGATGTTGCTGTTTCAACTACACAGATTTGATATCATCTGAATTACCTCAAGAGTCCAGCTGCTTGTTTCATTGTGTATTGTGTTGCTTGCCTTATTTACACAGACACTGTACAGTACCTTCCCCTCCATGTCACACAGGTCTCCCCTTCCTCTGCTGTTCCACTAACCTTGAATGATGATATTACAGAACACAACTAATACATTTAAAGTTTTGTCTCTCATCAAACACCTACTGTGTTTCAATTGGTACCAAATGCAGAATTTTGGAAACAGTAACTGAAGCGATGAAATGGGAAACATTGGACTGGAATATGAAGTTTGAAATAATACATATCTGTGTGAATTCAGCAGCTCATCAAATAGTGAAATAGGAAGGCAAACTGGATTAATTTTTTGAACAGTGTTCACAATACCAAAGAACACAGTATATACTAAACCCAAGCAAACTAAAGGCTCATTCTCACATGACATAAAATCATGACATTGAATGTCTCAACATATGCCACCATGAACATACAGTTACAATTACCAACATTAATGTTGTGACTTTGCCACAGAATCAAGCTAAGTTTGATTTTTGGTGACAACTGTCTTGACTTTGATACTGAAAGTATCACTGTCATGTGAAAATGAGTCTTAACAGCATTCCCTTTTCTTATGAGTAACTATCGGTGAAATTAATTTCACAATTTCAGTTTGTGACTGTGATTAATATGCTACCATTGTAACGTAACAGGCACAGATCCTGTCTACGTACACTATAGAGTTACAATGTAGTGCATATGGTGTATAATGAGATCTTTATTATAATGAGAAAAAAATATCGACACAGTCAATATGTTAATGTTACATATTGTCACGCATAGTGTGGTATGTGTGACAAAATTAATGGGTTCTAGTTTGGATGATTGGATTTATTAGCACCTTGGTTAAAAGTTCTCTTAATCACATTTAAATACAGCACTACCACTGATTCATACACACTTTCCAGTTCACTGTTGCACATGCACTAGGATTGTGCATCTACAGTAGTTGTCTTCTGGCAAGGGATCTCAACACAGAACCCATCACTTCAAATCACTATGAAGTCTTCTTGTCTTCAATCACTTTGTACTCCTAGTTCCAATTCGCTCTTGTTATACAGCAATGGCACAGACCACATAGAAAACAGTTAAATTGTTGATGATGTCACCGTGTTGCATAGCAAGGTCCAATATGTGGAAATGTGTTTACCAAGACATTGCCTAGAAATGGATTGCATAACCCCATTGTTCTACTGTTGCTTGCCACAGACTGCATAGAAAACAGTTTCCCGTATACTGTTGCATATTTGGAATTGTTTACTGGCTGTCGAACAGAAATGGCAGTTCTTCTATTGTTGCCTGTATTTGCTGCCATGAGAATGTTTATGGACATTCTTCCATTGTTGCATAACCTAGCAACGGACTGTTTACCAAGAATCTGTCTTCGTGTGAACTTGTTTACCAACCCATTGCCTGTCAATGTGTTGACATTTCACAATATATAAGGTGTGACCAAAAAATACAGTTAATGAGCGTGCCTGGTTGTAAGTAGCATGCAATAGATGAAGCCAGTTTCAGAAAAACTTTAACTCTTCAGTTCATATAATGCTAACAAGGATGTGAATGTTAAATTATTCTTTGTTATCTTTACATCCCCATGATAGACACTTCAGCGAAAAAGAAATATTGTCACAGAAGTATTATTATACAAGCTTCAGCGCCATACTGTGTTAGAAGCAAATGGATGTTAAGGGATGGACTTGTAGTTACATATTTCAACCATTTTCAGATATCGGCAGTATCTGTTAGAATGAGCATTTTATTTTTATTTTGTAAATTCTTGTATTATTGGAAGTTGCACTGTATTTAAAAAAAAGCCTCTAACATTACAGCTACTACCAACCTGAATTATTCTATCTGAATATATGATGCAGGTTAAAATGTTCTCAACTCAATTAACACTTTGCAGACCGGCAGTTTAAATATATAAATCACCCTGAGGACTGGCATTTTTAAACCTAGTACCCTAACTTGTGCACTGTTCACTTTAAAAATTAATATAAAATCTCCTAATTCATTTTATGAACTAAAACTTTTGTAAAGTACTTACCAATGCTTCTAGAAGTGCTTGAGGGTGTGATATTTCTGGAAATATTACCCTTTGTGAACTGTGCAAACACAGCACTGCCTAGAAGGATGCTTACCCTTGGAATGTTCACTCTTCACAATTTTCATAAGGGTATGTTTCCGCATATCACCTGAGAGTTGCCCAGGGGTGTCCACATGAGGATTGCATGGGGTGGGAATTGATGGGCGCGGTCGCACTAAGTCTGTGCCTGACTCTGGTTCTGCCGCCACCATCTGGTCTGTAGCCCAGGCCTTTGCCACATTCATCAGAAATGCTTTGTATTTCAATTTTGAATCAGGGTTTAGATTTTTGTAAACCAAAAATGAATTGAAAATGGCACAATTTATAAGCCACAAGGCAACTTTCTTTGTCCATTTTATTTTCCTAGGAAGAGAATAATAGGCCAAGTACTGACCAGCTCTATCAACTCCCTTCATGAACATATTATACTCAGAAATACAAAGAGGCTTCTTTACTTGTCCATGTCTCCTTTGAACATCAACCACGCTCAAATTGTAAATTGTGGAAATCATATTCACAACACAAGTATCCCTATCTCCAAAAGACAGTTCTGCTACTTCAGACACTTGCGTTTGGTCCAATGGAATTTGTTTCACCCTTGGATTTCCAGTAAACTGTCCCAAAGTAGGCGTTTTGTCTACTTTCCCCAATGTGGCTGTCCCCACAATTTTACTACCTGCATTTCTACCTGCACTTTCATCGGAGCCAGTTTCACTTTTATTGTCTGTGGCCACAAGTGTTTGTTGTCCCGTCACTGCCACTGTCTAAATCACTATCACTACACATCTCAGAAGGAATGTCAGATAGCTCAGAGAACAAGTCACATATTGCTTGTTTTCAACCGCTTCTGTCCTTGACTCACTGCACTACTAACTTCCTGCCTGGTACATAAGAGCTTGAAGGGTCAAAGATCATTTTCCTTTGGAGGGGGAACCCAAACAGCAAGATCAAGTTACTGCCTACTAAGCAAATATTCTGGAATAATATTACACAGTAGTCATTTCATTTTGGTGGTGCCAAACAAACGTATAGTGTGTTACAATCTAACGTGTCCTAAAATCATAATAATATGCCACTGGTCTGCCACGTTTAAAAGCGCTGGGCATAAAAATATGCCACCAGTCTGCAAAGTTTTAAAACCACTCACCTCAGAAAATAATAGTACTGCAATGCTTCTTTGGGATCAGAAGCTTCAAACTTGCGAACATACAACATGATGAGCCGAGCCAAGTTCAGCCTTCGAGCAGGAGGTCTATCACCAGGATCAACTGACACTACAAGAATAAAAAGAAAAAAATTGAATAAAACTATATCACAACATATACCCCATTTTTGATTTAGAATTAGTTACAAAGGCGATGAACAAAATCTTGTAACTAGACATCATATAACAATGCTTACGAAACCACTTTGCATGAATAGAAAGGGTTACCTATGGTCAACTCCATAGTTTTTAACAGTGATGCCAACTGATACCAATGTCTAAATTGGTATCTAACGTTTATATTGATATCGAACCATTTTACTGATTTTAGGACTTTTTAATTGACAAATATCTAATTAAATTTAGTTTTAAACAGTGTATCCTGTCTTTGCCTAAACTACAAATTGCCGGTCACGGTAGCTGAGCGGTCTAAGGCATGCACTGTCTTCATTTGCTTGGAAGCCGGGATCGTGGGTTTGAATCCCACTCAAGGCATGGATGTTTGTGTGTGTTTTTCTGTGTCTGTGTACAGGCAGAGGCCTTGCAATGAGCTGATCACCCGCCCAAGAAGTCCTACCATATGTCTAAGATCTAGTAAACCGAAGTGAAATGGACAGTTTCATGGAGGTAGGCCTAGGTCCAAATGAGGGCTGTAACGCCAATGAAAAAAAAAATACTTAAATTATAATACAACCTGCACTTTTAACACTTTGCGGGATGCACACCCTTTAAAATGTTTTTCGCTTTTAAACATGGCGGACTGTTCGCGTGTTAACAGGTTTTTAGAACACGATAAGTTGCAACACACTATACATCGCTCTGGCGCCACCTACATTGCATGCAACTGCCTGCAGATACATGATAAGACTCTGGAATGTTAAGTTAGCTGGCAGTAACTTGACCTTGCTGTTTACTTAACCGACTATAAAAGAAAATGATTTGCCTTCTTCAAGCTGTGTGTATCAGCCAGTAGCTAGTGGGGAGAATGGATCAAGGACAAATTCTCCTCCGATGACCTAGCTGACCTGCCTTGTGACACACGTAGTAATGGATTAATTGTCATTCAGACAGCGACAGTGACGGGGGACAACAAAGAATTGTGGCCACAGACAGTAAAAGTGACAGTAGCTCCGACGATAATGCGGGTAATAACATTGCACGTAGTAACATTGCGGGGACAGCAAAAAATCTAAAAAAATCTAAACCCTGATTCAAAATTGAAATACAAAGCATTTCTGATGAATGTGTCAAAGGCCTGGGCTACAGTCCAGATGGTGGCGGCAGAACCAGGGTCACACAAAGACTTAGTACGACCGGGCCCATCGACTCCCACCCCATGAAGGCCTCATGTGGACACCCCAGGGCGACTCTTGAGTGATATGCAGAAAAATACCCTCATGAAAATTGTGAAGAGTGTACATTCCAAGGGGAAGAATACTTCTAGGCAATGCCGTGTTTGCACAGTTCACTAAAAAAGGAGTATGTCTACATTTGCAAGTTCTGTGTAATGCCACTTCACAAAGGGGAAAGTTTCCAGAAATATCACATCCTCAAGCACTTCTAGAAGCACTGGTAAGTGTTCTCCAAAAATTTTAGTTCAAAAAATTAATTAGGAGATTTTATATTAATTTCTAAAGTGAACAGTGCACAAGTTAGGGTAGTATGTTTAAAAATGCTGATTTAAATATTTAAATCACCGGTCCGCGAAGTGTTAATTAAAACTTATCAACTGTACAAGTGCTAATTATTGAATATTTTCACCTTTACATAATCTGTTATATCTGACAACACATGAAGTCCACTGACATTTTATCTAAACTATACAGCTAAGAAAAATACAGAGGGACTTTTAGACAATGTCTATATATATGTCCACAAAAGAAAAGCAGCTTTGACAATACAGTAATTTGTCACTGTAGGAATTTAAGCTGACATTTCTATGTTAAACACCTGTAGTTTAAACAACAGAAATCAGTCTCAAGTACTGTACATTGCCTTTGCCTGAATTATACACCTGTTATGTATAGTTACATATTCCCTCTTCCTACAACAAAATGAACTGACTTTGTTTTCAGAACTTTGAAACAAAGAGAAATTTGATACTACCAAGAAATTACACAATGCACTGATATGTTGAATCCATAGTGATACCAAATACTTTTTCCCTGATATCACATTGATTTATCAATATCAATTGGCATCCATAATTTTTAATTCTAATTCTAAGCAGCGGGAGCCACACTGAATGGCACAGAAAATGGAATGTCCACCAAATGTTTCTCTGTGGACACATTGGATTTAAGATTTATTGGCCATATGTCACACTACTATTACAGTGCATCTGCTGTGTTGCTGGTCATATGTCACAATACCAGAATGCCAAAATACCACATTACAGTTAGTAGTACAGCAGATAGACAGCATAATTCTTTCCAGAAGTTAGACATTTTAGTATCTGTATCTTTCATCTCTTATTTGACAGCAAGTATCCAAGGTACTTGAATGTGGTGACTTGCTTATTTTCTGTAGTTTATGGGTGATGACACTGCTGGTATCCAGACTACACAGCATCCAGTGGTAATGTGGCTGATGAACTCAAAAAGACTGGGATGTTGTATGCTTTTGCTGTTAATCGCAGTTCTATTTCTTGTGGGTTCTTGGCTGCAAAATGTGACTTGTATATACAGAGTGTTTCACGACTTTAGGGCATAACTGCAGGAGATGATTTCCTAGGTCTTTGTGATCAAAAAAGTCCATATAAACATGTGTCTGATTTTGGATGGTTACAGACTTATGACCGCTTTTTCATTCCCGTACACGCCCTCGTGTGAACCGTGTCTGTCAGCTGTCAGGTCGCTATTTTTAGCCAGCTACAGACACAGCATTCTTGTTATCTCGACACTTGAGATGTAGTACCTAAGGCGGGGTGGGTTGGTATGTAACCGCACAGTTCACAACCAAGCAGCAGCCTGTGTTACGGCCGGCGGTAGCATTTTCGAAAATCAGCTTTAAGCACCAATAAATTCAAATTAAAGGTAATTTCACAAAGTTAACTTTACATTCATACTTTAAATGTATTATGCTGGTTTATTATTTTATTCCGTTTATTATCAGTAATCATTACCTTCTATTCTGACTTTAAAATGGTCATAACTCCGTAACCGTCCAAAATCGGACACATGTTTATGTGAACTTTTTTGATCACAAAGTTATGCCCTAAAGTCGTGAAACACCCTGTATAATAGTTGGATGTACTTCTGTTTGTCTGTCTACCCCAATCTGTTTCTCCCAAACAGCACATTGCAGAGAATATTGGTACAAATAAAAATCTTACTTTTGGGACAGATAACCACAGGAAAATTGTTAATTTTGCTGTTACATTCATCAATTTGGGTCCAAGTCAATTTCTTTTTTCAATCCTTTCCTTCATAAGAAAAATAATGCATTTTCAGTTTTATTCATTTTAAGATAATTTAGTGGTGTGTCTGAATAGTTACAAATAGTGACCCACAATTTTATGTAAGTGAAATTCTAAACACACTCAGACCATTTAGTATGGGAATACAATATTCTTTATGTGGCCTGCCCCACAAGAACTGTGTTCTAAAGATCACAGAAATAATGTCTAAGAACAGACAGACTTCACAAACAATAAAAACAGTTCCTGATAATTGCCTTGCAGATTTCTGTGCATGAACTTGCATGTTGTTTTTTTATTTCTATGTTGAAACTGTCATTCCATAATTGCTTGTTAATGTATTAAGTTTATGAGCTGACATTTATAATTAATCTCCTGAAATTGATATTAATTGGTAATCTGAAAATAAGAGTGTGTTTAAACATGTATTTCTTGATACTTACATCTCGTGCAGTAAATATATTGTCTTATATCAGTGCCAATAGTTTGACAGGCTGAGAACTGTCATAAACATATACAGGCAAAGTTTACCAACGTCGTACATAAAGTGTTCAGATAAAACTCCAGTGTACTAATGTTATCACCATGAAAGGATTATTTTTATTCTGATTCTTTCATTTACTAATGATATGAATGGGAGTAGGGCTTCTATCCATAAGTTTTGCATATACTCACATAAAGGAGCCTGCACATTTGATGGAACACCTAGCAAATGATGTTCATTGAGTGCTATTGCAATGTGCACAGCATGAACCCGCAGTTTCTCAGTGCGGGCCAGAAATTCAATTGCTGCTTCAAACTGACCAGTAAGAATCAGAACTTGGAAATACACATGTGGCTGCTCATGAGCATTGTAGTGACTTTCACCTGATAGAGAAAAAAAAAAAACAACTGTGAGAACATTTTTAAGATTAATCGCAAACAAAAGCTATAACTTAGATATATCCTAAATTTGTTAACATTGTCACATGTATGTGTGATTATAGATGGGGTCTGGATTGGAGAATCAATTTATTGACCACTTATACACACTACTTGGAACTACAATTACAGCAGTATTATTGAAGTCACAGATCACCACAGCACCTGCTAAGCCTTTTCCAGCCTCCTGTGCCTTCACCAGCCCTTACTTGGCAATGGCTTAGAATAGTGGAGATTCTTCAACTTGTCATGCTCAGGTCCTCGTTATGGCCGCCCATGCAAACCTCATGTAAACTGTCAACTCAACTATAACACCATTTCTCCTCAGCCTCCCTTGCACAGCTCAACTGAAATGGTTGCCCCAATTCTCTTCTTTATAACTCCTCAGCATGGACCACATAGAAAACACCCTGTTTCCAACAGTAAGTCTACTGTTTCATGCATATTAGTTCCATGGGAATGTGTTTACCGAGCCATTGCTCAGAAATGGCCATTTATCTACTTGCCTATTGCAGAGCAATGGCTGTACTTGTTTATTTTGAGGTCTCTGCCTAGTAATGGGTCTATACACCACAATATACTTCAAATATAGGGACAGGAAATCAGCAACAGCTTCTTTACTAAAGAATCAGACAGGGAGACACAGAGACAAATACACACACCAGCACACACATATTCACAAACAAATGAAACCACCAAAACTACTTTCACTAACTTCAGGGAGCAGTCTACCTTGATAAGACAATTCTTGCTCATGTAGTTGAGCAATTACCCACTTTTTACAGAAAAGAAAGCTCTGTTACCATGGTCCTAGGAGCCCACCACTTAATCCTGCCTTAGGCCACCAAAATCCAGGCAAAATGCTCACAAATAACTGATTTTAATCGGGCATTAAACCCATTCATTGTTAGTTGCTGGGTGTTAATATGCATCTGACTATCCAGACTGGGACACCAATGTAAATTCTCGGATTAGGTCAAAAAAGAAATTCTGGCTTAACTTAACTCAATTTTGGCTGCCATCTCCTTCAAAATAGTCTCACTGGGAATGTATACAATGATCCCATCGTTTTTCCCATGCTTCAAAAGCATTATGTAAGTCATTTTCCTTAATGCTGTTGAGTGCCACTTGTGACTCTCTTTGGATGTCAGACACTGTTTCAAAACGTCATCCATTCAGTTTCATTTTCAATTTGGGAGACAAAGCAAAATCACAGAGGGCTAAGTATGGCGAGTAGGGAGAATGGGGAATGATAACCATGTTGCTGTTAGTCAAAAACTCGGTGGTTTTAAGGACGTGTGGGCGGGCATGTTGTTATGATGAAGGATCCAGTTGAGGTTGCACCAAAGTTCCAGTCTTTTTGTCACATATTTCCTCTCAGGTGTCTCAAAAAGTCACAGTTGACCATAGTGTTAGGAGGAACAAATTCAAGGTGAAAAATCCCTTTCACAATAAAAAAAAACAATGCGCATGCTCTTTGGTGAACACCAGACTTGCCACCTTTTTTGCTCTTGGTGATTGTGGGCCCTTCCACTGCAATGATTTTGCTTTGTTTCTGGATCATAACTGTAAATCTAACTTTTGTCACCCCTTATGATCCTAGAGATAAAAGTTGAGTCCTCGTTAGCCTTTTCTTGTAGCTCAAGACAAACGTTTGTGCACCACTGCTTTAATCGTTTGTCAAGAGACAGAGAACAAAATTTCATGACAATGCAGCACATGTCCAAATTTTCTCTTAAGATTTCCTGGCAAACTCCATACCTGATCCTAATGGTGTCTGCAAGCTCACAGAAAGTTAGAGGACAGTCTTCATGGATGAATTCTCATTTTTTGTCAACATTTTCTGTTGTTTTGCTGGCGCTTGGTCGCCTTGAACATTCGTCGTCTTCAACTGACACTCGGCCAGCCTTGAAACTTGAATGCCATTCAAAAACCGCAGTCTGGCTTAAAGAATGTTCTCTAAAAACCTCATGAAGCATTTCAAGAGTTTTGGTAGCAGATTTACCTAGCTTTGCACAAAACTTGATGCAGGTGCAATGCTCGATTTTGCCATCCATCACAGACAAAACGAAACACAAAATTGAGAAAGCACTCATGTAAAAACAATGTGTTCACCGCGCAGTGTCACATGGCAGATTTATGAAATAGGCTTGTGGAAGTGTGACCTTTAACTCCCCTCTCATCTCTTTTTCACTGGGGCAGTTACAACAATAAAAGTCTGGGAACTTTTCGATAGCATCTTGTATACATGAACAGGTTGTTTTCACCTTCACAACTCATTACCTGAACCTCTAATTTCTTACACTTTTTTTGGTATAATTCCTAAATAGACTGATGATACAGTATTTTGACAAAACAACTGCATCCATAAAATACACTATGTGTTTTTTGGGGCAGAAGTTAAATCTGTGGTGATGCCTACCATATTCTTCAAGTATTAATGACTGTAGGTGAGCATAAGTCATTCTGTCTGTAGCTTGAGTTTCTGAGCTGTCTTCTTCATGGATCTGACAAAGTTTCAACCATATATAATCATCTGCAGCCTTCGCTACTTCTGAATGTTCATCATTCACATCACAGGATCCAATGACACAGTACACAGCCCTGGAATATAACATGAAGACAGAAAGAAAATTGAAACTGTCCATTAACAGATCTAATTAAGTAATTCAAACATTTCCAGAATTTCATGACCAAAATTTGGGAGCATAATTAATGTGCTCAGTTATTGAATGTACATAGGGTCAGTGATGTTAGGCAGACAAAAATCCATACAGCTGAGCCATTAGTACCTGACCCTAGCCCTTTTGAGGTTAAAAGTGCTATTGCAAAATTGAAACGATATAAATCACCAGATAGTGATCAAATTCCGGCAGAACTTATTCAAGCAGGAGGCGAAATATTATGTTCTAACATCCACAATCTAATTACTTCTATTTGGCATAAGGAAAAATTGCCCGATCAGTGAAAGGAGTCTATTATTGTACCCGTTCACAAGAAGGGTGATAAAACTGACTGTAGTAATTATCGGGGGACATCACTGCTATCAACTTCATATAAAATTTTGTCCAATATTCTTCTTTCAAGGTTAAGTCCATATATAGATGAAATTATTGGGGATCATCAGTGTGGGTTTCGACATAACAGATCAACTACAGATCAGATCTTTTGCATTCGTCAGATATTGGAGAAAAAA